ATGTATGTAATGTAATGTAATTTAGTTTAATGTAATGTAATGTAATGTAATGTAATGTAATGTATGTATGTATGTATGTATGTATGTATGTATGTATGTAATGTTATGTATGTATGTAATGTATGTATGTATGTATGTATGTATGTATGTATGTATGTATGTATGTATGTATGTATGTATGTATGTATGTATGTATGTATGTATGTAATGTATGTATGTGTGTAATGTATGTATGTATGTATGTATGTATGTATGTATGTATGTATGTATGTATGTATGTATGTATGTATGTATGTATGTATGTATGTATGTATGTATGTATGTATGTATGTATGTATGTATGTATGTATGTATGTATGTATCTGTAATGTAATGTAATGTAATGTAATTTAGTTTAATGTAATGTAATGTAATGTAATGTATGTATGTATGTGTGTATGTATTTATGTATGTAATGTATTTACTTGTGCGAATGTAAGTTACTGTAGTGTCATGCAATTTAATGTACTGTATGTAAGTACTGTCATGTAACTTCATGTTAATGTAATGTAATGACGTATGTATGTATGCAGTGTATGAATGTACTGTACTGTCATGCTGGTATGTGTATACATGTGTGTATATTGAAGCTTGCGGGACTTGTTCGTCCAGGGCGTGTTTGATAGGCTTCCCGAGGGCGCTGCGTCCGAAAAGTCGCCTTCTGTTGGGCCAGGTCCGCTAGATTCCTGCACCCATCCCTCAGCCTCTTGAGGCTCAGCATGAAAGCATGTGGAGTGAACACCGGCGGGCCCTGCAGTTGACATGGGTTCCAGTGAGGATTGGTGCTTACGACGCACTCGCCATTAACACCCCGCGCTTTAGGGGTGGAGTTCTTACATATAGATACCCAATTGCGAAAAGCAAACCCATTTTCCGCCATGTTTAGAGGAGTACCCCTTTCTCAGTAAGACTTCTGTGCCCTTCCTTGGGGCTGCCACATTTAAGCCAGCGGTTGCTTGCGAGCGGGAAGGTGCTGCACATGTTGGTGCGAAACAAGCTTGTTTGGCGCCAAAATGGGCGTTCTTACTCGGGTCCCTTTCATGCGCCCTTATTCACAGATGAAGTATGGCTACATAGGCAGAGTAGCGTGCTTTTCAGCGGTTGGCAATGTGTTGGCCCCCCAGTCTGTTGCAAGCAAGTTGGAGTACACGAGACAAGTTGTGGAATATCCGAGTTAGGTGTCATGAGTATATTAGAGGGGCTACTTTGCATGAGGTGCGCGCTGGGTGATTTTTCCGCCAGAAGTCGTGAGAGAATCATGAGCATCATGAGCCATTGGAGGACGTTCACTTCGCCCTAACCTTGCCAACATGTGGTTTGTTTCACCTGCCTTTCGGACTCTTGGGCCTTTCACTGGGTGAACTGAGCCTCCGGCAGCCGACCGAAATTCGGGGCTGGCCACATCCACAATTCAATCGAGTAACAATGCAAGACGAATGGAAGCCGCTTCGAATGCCGCCAGCTCGCATGAGACAGCCAGGTGTGACTTTATTGTTGGGGGATTGCAAGAGCTGCACCTTCGGTTCGTTTGTTTGGGGTCGTTTTTGCTGTTGAAGGGGATCCAGATCAGTTTTGGTGGACGGCCCGCTCGCTTTCACGGTTTTGCAGGGTTCTCATTAATTAATCCGTTCCTGCTAATGGTTTTTTCGGCCTCCGCCCCCAAAGTATCTTCGCTTGGGGGCCGAATAACGTTTATTAGTGGAGTCCATTGTTGCCCCACGGGCGGGGCGGTTCCGCCATGGTCCTCCTCCAAATTACATGAGTTTCCGGCCTCAAATATCGTTCAAATTGGCAATGTCCAAGTAAGGAACTCAAAGAGCAGAAATCTAAGCGCTTGTTTCGAATTGGTTTAAAGCTGGTTAAGCATCGGATTAATATTGGCTTAGTATTGGTTCTAAAATGTTCTAGTAAGACTAGAGTTGGGGTCGGCGGGACATTTGATCGTTTAGAATTGGTTTAGTACTGGATAATTCTAATCTAGCATCTGGGAGATTTGGAGTCTGGAAAACCGTATTTATTAGTAGGGTGCGTTTATTAGTGGGGGGGAAAGTACCAGCTCCGACAAGGGCGAGCCATGTTTTCGTTCACTTGTGTGAGAGCGCACGGCGAGGGGCGGCCTTCCACGTGTTGCGTTTGGCAAGTTAGCTGCTTTGCCTCCGATGCCGAGGCGAGACGAGCGAAACCCGCGGCCGGTGTTGGTGTCCCGGTTTTGGCCACAAGTGGTGCGAAGGAACCGTCGCTCACAGAACCTTTGCTTGGGCGTGTCTCTTTGAGGTTGGGCGTGTCTCTTTGAGGGTAGCCCTGCTTGTGGTTTTACAGGGGAGCCGAAAGGAAAGCCCGCATGTTGTGTGTGTGCCCGAAACAGACACAGCCACTTGGCTACATTCTGCAAACCCACCCCAGTTCCCTGTGGTGAGGCCGTCGCAGCCAGAAGACACCGCATCACTCAGTGCACGATCCTATGTACGGTCAGGATTGACGCACAGAATTGAGGATATGGGGCATCCATGATGAACATGTTTCAGATTGCGAAGGTCAATGCGAGACTCTCAGCAAACGATACCTATGGGTATACACGTTGGAGCAGGGACTCTGAAACTAGATTTCCTTTCCGAAAACAGGACAATTTGACAGAACCCGATGAGATTGAGATACTTCAGGAAGAGTGCCATGATTGAATGGCGGCAGTTTCCTTCCTTAAAGCAACCGTGTTCGCAGACCCATGCGGGGTTCTTTCCCTGGACCGTGAAGTGGCAAGATAGAGCCGGTCCCACCGCGGGCTGCGGTGCTTCTTCTAGATCACTTCAAGGCGCACTCGGCCTTGGTCGATGGCATGTCGTGAAGCCAGCCTCCGATCCGCTTTTTGCCGTGCGCTCAAATATCTTAAGCGAATAGATCGGTGCCTAAGACAGGCCTCGATGTGTGGGAGCCCAGAGTCAAGCCCGGCGGATGTTTGTCGCACCCAAATCAACTGCCCGGCCTACTGCCCGTCCACCGGATTGAGTTGGGCAACCACTACTTTCAAATAGCGGCTGAGCGAAACCTTTTGCTGGTAGAAAATGCGATTCCGATCGCACGATTGTATTGGCCAGGATCTAGGGCAACTTGGCTGGCGAAGAAGAATTACCAGGGGGCATTTGCGTATCAGGTTGTTTGCGATCTGGCACAGGATGTTGCCATGATCGATCTTTCCCATTGGCTCATCCCACTTGGTGTTGTACAAATGTGACCAACTCCACGAAAACGAGCCATGCTGAGGGCTCTCCAGGAGTATCCCGGAAAGCTGAGATCCTGTCGAATGTCGAATTGGTTCGCGGGCGTGCTTTCTCGCAGCTGAGCTGCAAGCCTTTAGCTTGGCAAGGGGGGGCCATTGGAATTTGAGAGTGCCCTTGTCACCTTTGTTTAAAAGGGCGATCTTTAAAAGGGCGATCTTGAAAAGGGCGATCAAAAGGAAAGCTCACCCATTTTGTCCCCTATTTGACACATTCCATATCCAGCTGTTCAATGTGTTTTTTCCGCTTCGGGGTCCATGGCCCCCTTTAGTGCCCAGCGACCAGCTGATTCCCGCAGTCCAAAATGCGGCGTTTCCCGCGCGGTGCAAGGGAGGGGGATGCGCCTGATCTCAATGGGCAGCTTTCGCGAAAAGAAACCATCGTTGCTGTTAGATGACCACGCTGTTGTCTTTGTCTTCCATTTGCTCAAGAATATGTGTTATTTACCATGGTTTCAAAGGAAATGAGAATATGTTTATTTTTCCAGGGGACTTGAGCAAATGGAGGTTCAGGTTGGGAGATGAGCTGCGTTGGTTTCGGCAAAGGCAAGCCGGTGCACTGCCCATTTGGCAGCCGCATTGAAGCAACATTGCCAAGTAGTTTCTACAGCAAGCTGAGCGACGTGCTCAATTCCAGGGACCCACACTTGAGTTGAGCCTAACGGGTGACATGCGCGAAAGTTTCCAAGCCTTCCAGATGAATGCTCCTGTGAGCCTTTTTCGGAGGCGTTCCAGAACTTGTGACCTGACAGGCATGTGTCTAAGGCAGGCACACCTGTAAAAGCACCCAGATGCGTGCACTTGCATGCGTGCACACTTGCAAACAGATTTGTCCCCACCCCACATCGTGTCTATGCATGCAGGTTCCAAAGCTTGCCTTGCCTTATGCTGGAACTACCTGGTGAAACTGGAGACAGTGCAAGATCATGGTGTGTCATGTTTGCCCCCCAAATGGCTTGCCTCCGTCCTTGTTCAGAAGCAGTGGTGACATGTTGCAAAGATCCAGGGCCTTCTGTGGCTATTGGGAGTTTGAGTTTGAGCAACTTAGAGGCTCACTTGGGCGGCGCAGGGGGCGCAAACAACCATCTGCATGAACCATATAACCAAGAAGGCCAAAGTCGGCCAAAGTTAGTACGGCCGGCCGCGATGTAATTTGATGGTTGCCATTTGCTATTGGAAGATCTCACCTTTCCAGGGACGGAAGCTTTCAGAGGCAAAGGGCACTACACACAAATGCGAGCAAGACCGGCAGTCACGTAAATAAAGCGCCACAGTCACTCAAGAAAGACGCCACTACGGCATCACACATTTGATCAGCCCGCGTATTTGCCAGGGTTCGAAATCAATCCTGAATCCTTGTATCAGATGGTGGTTCCCCTTGTGGTACCCTGGTTACAGACTCGGAGAAGGGATCTCTATTTCTGAGCCCAGTCCAATCAGTTTTTGACGCATGGAGCAGCCGGCCCTCGCCGGAGCAGTTCGCTGGGTGCAGGCATGGGATGCCATGTCCAGCTGCGGGTCCCTCGACGGTCAGTTTCCCAATTTGAATTCGGATTGCAGCCCGCATTTCAAGATACTCGGCTCCTATTGTGTAAAGGGAATGAGCTGTTTTGTTTGTATGAACGAGAAAGGGGATGTTGTATTGGTGAATCCGTTTCAATTCATTTCACAGTTTCATCGGTCGCATCCGGTGAAGCTGAACACGCTTGCAACCTCGGCAGGCCAATGACATCCGGGCGCAAGGCTGGGCATCAGGATGTCCAGCATCTTAGAACCCGTTTTGGTGGTTTTTCAACGGGAAGCCACAAGGAAAACCACCAATCTGGCCCCTAAACTAGAAGAACGAGTGGCCCGAAAGCAAAGCATATAGTGAGCGAAGCAAGGTCATGTTCTTTTTACGATCGTGGTCCCTGCGCAAGTTCATTCGTGCGCAACATCGCCGTTTGAGCTTCTTCTTTGCGCAAGATCTCTCTGCGCTGGTTCTCGGCTCACTTTTTCTGCGCAAGCTCGTCTGCGCAAGTACTCGACGCAACTTTCTCTGCGAAAGCTGTGCGTGCAAGCTCTTTGTGCAAGTTTCTCAGTTCTCTGGGCGAGCTCTCGGTGCATGTTTGTCTGTGCAAGTGATGCAAGTGCTCTGTGCAAGTTCTTTGCACAATCTCTCTGTGCAACTACCTCTCTGCAAGTTGCTCTGCGCAAAATTTTCGCAAGCACGGGTCGTTCTCAACAGAAGTACCGCACAGAGTTGCAAACCACTCCAGCTTTTGCACATAGACCACGCACATCCCTGCAGAGGGCCGCGCTCGCAGATCAAAAAGTAGAAGAAGTCGGCAGTTTTTGAACATCTGTGACGCAAATCTGACTCAGAGGGTTGCGCGGGCAAATCCAAAAGTGGCAAACGTGCTCTGCAGCTTCTGGACATGGAACAAGTCCACAGTTTTTGGGCATCGAACAGGTCGATTCCTGCAGAGGGTGTCATTCTTGCAGAGCGGGTTCGGTCCCACCCCGCCGACTTTTACAAAACGTTTTCTCGTGCAAATGATTGCAAGTGTGTTCACGCGTTGGCTCGTGCCCGTGCAAAGTGTGCTCATGCGAGCTTGCTCGTGCAAGTTTGCTCGTGCAAGTTTGCTCGCGCAAGTGTGCTCGCGCAAGTGTGCTCATGCCAGTTTGCTCGCGCAAGTGTGCTCTTGCGAGTTTGCTCGCGCAAGTGTGTTCGTGCGAGTTTGCTTGTGCAAGTGTGCTCCTGCGGGTGTCCTTGTGCGAGTGGCGGTCGGCTTTTGCGGAAGAACCCTTTCTTAAACCGGCCAGGTTCTGTAGATAGCCGAGTTTGTCGGGCATTGCTGGCAGGTTTCCCCACGACATATCTTCAACCCCGAGAAAGGGTTCCCTTGTTCTTGCGACTCCCTGAAACGCACCAACTGGCCATCAAGTAGGCCCAGCGGCCAGTCACCAACTTGCCAGCTTCAGGTTTTCGGGCTTCTGGAGAATTCTTCCGCTCGTTCTCATACGTTTCTTGGCCTCTGGGGTGCCCTGCCTTGCATCGAAGTCAGACTGCGCCAGGCGTGGGTTGGTCGACGTGGCTGGATGGCCAGAACGCTGGGCCCCAGAAGGACCCGCAGAGGCTACGGCTTAGACCGTCGAAACTCGATTGCTTCTTCTAAACCAGGGCTTGGTGAGGTATGGCCAGACCCATTTCAAGCAAAGCTTTTCTTGGATTTCCTATGGTGGCGGGTAGTGGTTGGAGAAGGGCTTCAAAGTTGAAGCCCGAAATCTGCGTTGCTCCTCAGTCACTTTAAGCCTTCCCTTCAATATTCTAGTCTATAGTGGACATGAAGACGTCATTTACTTTCCTGCATATCAACATGCAATGTAAAAATAATAACCTCCAAAGCGAGCTGCCTCTACAAGTCAAGGTTTCTTGGGTTCCAAAGTTTGCTGGCCGGCTTCTTTTCCGGGCCTTTTGCCCGGCGCCGGGACCCCTCGCTTTTGGATCGATCGGGTATCGCATCGCAGGCATCCCGCCCAAGTACTGCGGCAGTTCCTTGAGGCCGTGCGGCCAGGCTTGCCGAAGGAGGCGCGAATGGCTCTGGGGAAATTGCGGCCAAAGAGCCAATACCTGTCATTTTCCCAAGGGGAACCACCTTTTTTTTTCCGGTTTTAACTCCAGAAAGTCTCTTTCCAGGGCTCCCCAAATTTGGCCAGACTAAGGGTTCGTCAGGGGATTGTGAATTTGGATGAATTGGATGTGTGCTTTTCCTTCTTTTTTTCTTTCGGGTTGGTTGGTTGTTTGTTTGCCTTGTGCTTGTTCCGGTGGTAGAACCCATATTTGTATTGTACGCCTTTGCATCCGTCCATATCACTAGCAGGGCGCCGGAAGACTGGATACGTTTTTGCACACACAGAGCGTTGCTTACTGGGACCAATCATGGCGTAGCGAAACACGCTCCCATACTGTGCACGGAAGCCCTGAGATCCTGTTTTTCTTTGCGCCCACAGGTTTCAGAGCTTCGCCTGTCACAAAACAACCAAACGGTGTTCGGGAGTCCAATGGGCCTTTTTGTTTCCTTGAAACGTGCAGGAAATGTCGGCGCCACGGTTCCACTTTCTGATCGCCGCGTCCCAGACTTGCGCCTTTGTAACTGCATATGTAGCCGTCCAGTTTGGGCCCTGGGCTGGATTTGGCCTATGACAGTGACCACTGGGAGGGTAGTTCGTGAAATGGGCGCGGCACCCCACGTTGGATCTTTCAGGTTGCTGCCTCCCCCAAAACGCAGCTTTCACCAAAAAACCATTTCAGCAGATCAGATGCAAAGCCTGAAGTTAGAGCACCCTCATGGCATTGCCCTTTTGGGAGTCAATTTGGATGCTCCACGTCCCAACGCGATTTTCCGCAACCCAAGTGGATGTAGTCTTAAAATAAGAGAAAATGCCGCGCTTTGTAGCACCATACACCTGTCATACACGTAGCATTCAACCTCCTTCTCCTCAGCCCACAGTGGGCACATTGACGTTAGACATCCTCCAACTTCCGGCTGTCGCGAGGTGCTTGCAGCCGTCCAGGGCGAGGAGGAGGAAGGGCAACACACATGTCGCACGAAGTGCGAACAGCTTCCATTCCAGCACCCCCCCAACGACAAAGAGCAACTCCGCTTTTTCTGTCCAGAAACCCACGAACTGTGCACAAAGCTGTGGTTGAGTTCCAGGTCTACACCCAACCTCTCCCTGTTTGGGGCTTGCTTTCGATCAGAGATTCGAAGGGCAGGGTGTGTGTGTGTGTGTGTCAATGTCAAGGAGCGGTGCTGAGGCTTTGCCACTTTTGAAGCAAGCCATCTGATTGTAGAGTAACCGTGGAGCGAAGACGCGCACACACGCCACAAGCAGCCTTTCATTTGCATCACCAACATGCACGATTGAAAGTGGGCCATGCTGCATACAATCCGCCCGCTTGAACTAGACGTGCTACTGAACCCAGAGTGAGAGTCATTGCAGGCATACAGTGGGCAGCTTAGCATTATTGCTCGGAGCATGTGTTTCATGTATTCAACGAGGTGATTTGGCAATCATCCCTGACGGTTTAGGGAACTTCTCATGCGTGTCTCAGCGCGTTGCTCGTGCACTTCAGTCCATGCCAGTCAAAGTTTGCCAGGCTATGCAAAGCTTGGCGACCTTTCTAGGCCAGGCCAGTCCGGTTGTGCCTGCGTGGGTTTATCATTTACCCATGGAGGCACCATCAAACTTTGACCTTGGTTCACGTGGAATGTCCAATTATAACTGGAAAAACCCGGCTCCGCAGGATCCGTGGGCACTTGGCTGAGCTAGAAGAAACTTTGGGGGGAGAAGTGGGTGGCGAGCGAACATGACGTCCGTTAAATGCTCAGGGATCCCTCTTTGCTGTTGCAAGTATGTTCAAACTTGCAGATCCATGAGTTCACTTAAGGCCAGCGGAGCATTCGCTTTGAATGCCTTTGATTTGCTCAGAAAGAGCTTGACGTGTTCAACAGGGACCTCTAAACCTGGGAATACCACTTTGAGCCAGTCTCGGAGGCAAGGGGTTCCGCACCGAGTAAAGATTCCGCACTGTGTGTGATTGAAACTTTGGCTCAGCACCCCAAGTTAACGTGGGCAAGGTTTGCCGGGGATATGAACAGAAGAGAACATGACTTACTCGGGTCATGTTCTCCACAACCACTTTCAAAATCAGGTGAAGGGACATGTCATCAACTCACTCACTTCAGGGTGGCCTTGAGTTGCACACCGCCATCTCACTAACACCCAAGCGCAACCCGGGGTGGGTAGCATCGCGATTTGCCGATGGAAAGGACCCAGATGGACTGCCATGCAAAGCATGCAAATTTGCAGAGCGTTGCAACGCGCCACGTTGCACGCTTTGCCCTTGCCATAGTGATCGTGATATATGGGTGTGCATCTTTTGGGGAAACCTGTTTGTTAGTTTGAGGGGAAAAGGAAAACCACGATTTGTGGGATTATCTAATTTTAAGACCAACCCATACTTGCTTCATCACGTCCTTTCACCTACCAGGAGGCTACAAAGGCATGGGGAAAGGGGTCATGCCGAGTACAGTAGGCATCATGTTGATGATAAGGCCATCTTTTTTGTGATTTGTCAACTTGTCATCCACTATCAGTTCAGCAAATTGCGGCTTTATTTCTCCCAGGCATTGAACACGTGCACACAGTTGCCTCGGTGCGTCGGCGCTTCGGACATGCCGTTCCAAAAACATCAGAACACATTTTGGGCATCAGTGTTTCTGACTCAGCGTCGGGGATCGATTTTGCCTGGGTTTGATCGATGCCTTGTTTCCCCTTGCAATGCCAGGTGGCTTCTGTCTTCAACCCGGATGGATGGTTCTTGGCTTCTTTTTGGTGTTGCTTTGGGTTCTCTTTGGTTAGTTTCCCTCTTGGATTCTTCTTGGTGTTCCCTTAGCGTTCCTTTGGTGTTCCTTTAGTGTTCCTTTAGTGTGCCTCTTAGTATTGGTGCTCCTTTCGTATGCCTCTTGTTCCTGCAGTTATCCTTTCGTGTTCCTTTAGTTTCCCTCGTTTTAATTTCGTTTTTGGTGTTCCTTTCGTTTCCCTTGAACTCCCCCTTAAAGGTTCCCCACTAAAAACAGGAAGAGCCACCGTCTCACAAAGTGCCGGAGGCAGCAAGGGCGCTGGTCTCGTCAAGCTCATGGA